CACCTCTGAATTCGTGGTGACACAAATTGTAGAACAGCTTTCCTTTTACTGAAGAGGGATAACAGCGGTTTGTGATCTGTGCAAATTGTGAACTTCCTACCAAACAGATACTTGTGGAAATGCTGAATTCCAAAAATAACAGCAAGCCCCTCTTTGTCGAGCTGCGAGTAGTTGCGTTCTGCTGGAGTGAGAGTTCTGGACATGAAACTGATGGGTCTCTCTTTGCCATCCCCCATTCGATGTGACAAAACAGCTCCCACCCCATAGGGAGATGCATCAAATGCCAAGATGAGGTCTTTTTGAGTATCATAATGAACAAGCACCTCAGCAGACTGAATGAGTTGTTTAGATTTCTAAACGCCTCACGTTATTCACTACCCCAATGCCATTTTACACTTTTTCTCAAAAGATTATGTAAGGGAGCCAGCAAGGTTGACAAGTTTGGCAGGAACGTGTGGTAGTAGTTAAATAGTCATGAAACCCCCCCATTTCAGCACTGGTTAGTTCTCACCACAGTTTTAAAAAATGCTAAAAATGTGGGCATGGTGCGCAGCGGAGCGGAGGAGGGGGAAAAGGGGAGACAAACAACACACACACAGCTTAGCGTTCTGACAGTTTCATTTGGCTCCCATCGAGTTAAAAACACAAATAAATGCACAGCCGTTTGCACTCTGCATCGAAAACATATATATGAACGCGCTGTTGCACCTCTGAGAACTTTTAAGGCTTATTCTGTGGCGTTTATATAAGCCTTTTGACAGGTTGTGTCACAGAGCTGTAAAAAACGGTTATGCTCACCAAGTGAATGAATCGCGTTTGCAGTGGTGTAATGTAACGAAGTAATAATACTTTGTTACAGTACTTAAGTATTTTTTGGGAGTATCTGTACTTTACTTGAGTTTTTATATTTCAGCCAACTTAGCCTAATCCACTACATTTCCTAATTAAAATGTATACTTTTACTCCGATACATTTCCCCGAATCCTATTCGTTACTTACTACAAAATAGTCAGAAGTTAAATAAATTTAGGAAAGCAGGTTTGACGAATCAGTGGTCT